GCCTTTTCAAACTTGCTTTGTGCGCGTTGCTGACTTGTGGTTTAGTCCCGCTGATGTTGCAGCGGCGCCCGGAAACCATTCTTTAATGTGTCACTTTATCATTGCTCATGCATATTTACACTCACAAACACACACATATATATATATATATATATGTGTATGTATATATTACAATTACTGTAAATATTCACAATATGTATACGAATGTACAAATTGTCAACATGCAAAATAAAAAACATAATGTGTGGGCATATAAGGTGGTGGATGCATTGTATGATCATTCAACGGATCATGTCATTTTCACACAACTATGTAATATCAAGCGTCCGCTTTCCAATGCCCAGTGCATCATGCAAACAACTAGTGCTCGGCCTGCGCCAATCAAATTTCGAATGTTTCTGGCCCTTGGATGTGGCCCTCGGACCAACAAATGTACAGCAAGTTACCACTACTCCTTGCTCATTGTGTATTGCCTGTATTGCGGTCAATGCTGGCGAGTGCTAATTTTTGTTTTCGCTCGGATTCTCGCGCTTTCGCGTGGATTTTTGTGGATTGTGTTATATTTAGTTCTGGAGATTTTATATATAGTTCTGGGAATTTTATATATAGTTCTGGACTACTTTATATATAGTTCTGGAGATTTTATATATAGTTCAGGACTAATCTATGTATTCGTTTTTTTTGGGGTGGGCAGGGAAAATTTTTATATATAGTTCGAGGGGTTGCGCCGCGGTGGCGCCGCGGTTGCGCCGCGGTGTCTCCGGGGGCGCCGCGGTGGTGCCACGGTCGCGCCGTGGAGGCGGAGTGGAGATGTTCAAATATTTTTGGCGTTGGTCGAGTTTCCTACGGGCAGCCTGACCGTCCCGTCATTGCTTGGCTGGGACATTGTGCCTTTTACATTCTTTTACCCTCAGCACAAGTTACAACTCCAAATCCAGGGCATGAACAGACTTTATGGGCTGCTACTCATCAAGAATCCATGTTGCAGCATTTCATCATCGATCACTCCTTTTTTTAACGATTGTAAAGTGTAAAGTATTGTAAGGTAACATTTCCCAGTCCAAGTCCGGAGAACGCTTGCAAAATTATTCGGACAAGTACATGTTTAATATATAGTTCGGAACCGTTCGGAACCGTTCTGAACTATATATCAAATACCTTTTATATGTAGTTCGGAACCGTTCGGAACCGTTCTGAACTATATATACGGCCCAAACGCCAATTAGTTCGGATTAGTTCGAAGTAGTTCGGATTAGTTCGGGATGTATATATAGTTCGGAACCGTTCGGAACCGTTCTGAACCATATATAACACAATTTTTAAACATAGTTCGAAACCGTTCGGAACCGTTCTGAACTATATATAGAATGCCTTATTATATATAGTTCGGAACCGTTCGGAACCGTTTTGAACTATATAATTAATATAATTACAATGCCTTTTTGTATATATAGCGTTCCGAACCGTTCTGAACTACATGGAGAAATGGCCCATTTCTGTGGACATGTTTGATCTATTTGTTTCAGTATTTGTTTCGTAAGATTAAGATCTCCGAGCAAGAGTTGAGCAAAGCATCAAGATACCTTTCTTTGTGAGGGTAAATCCTGCAAATTATAGCCTGAAACGAACTTTTACTAATTCCATTTAATTCCTTCCTTCAATGCACTTCCGCTTTCCCAGAATTCCAGCAAGACAATGATTTGATATGTTTGCCCGTTTGTATATCTTCATTCAAGACCTTCATCAATGATCTACTTCCTCGTTGTTTGTATATAGTTGTTCTTTGATAACTTCGTTGACGAGCAAATAAGGCCGTGAATTTCAAAATTATGAGTTCTTATGAACAAACCATGTGTAGTATATACATGATTTGCATTTGCTCACTATAGCGTTGAATCATGGGATACACCGCCGTTAGTACCATGATAAGTTTCAAAGTTGCCATATTTAGGATAAACTCACACAAGAGTGTCTGCATTTCAGGCCCTTTGGTGGATTTGAAAGTATAGCCCTCAGTAACATGTGAATCATCTACAAACAAGGCAAAATCGCATATAGTTCTGCATTGTTTGATGTAGTTTTGAACATTATATCTATAGCTCTGGGAGTTTTACATGTAGTACCGGGAATTTTACATGTAGTACCGGGAATTTTATATATAGTTCTGGATATTTTATATATAGTTCTGGATATTTTATATATAGTTCTGGACTATTTTATATATAGTTCTGGACTATTTTATATATAGTTCTAAGAAAATTAAATATAGTTCTGGACCAGTGTTGGCAGCCCACAGACAAAGAGGCCCACGCACCCATCAATATATATGTATACATATATATATATATATTTATTTATTTATTTGTTTATTTATTTATTTTATTTATATTTATCATCGATATTGATTGAATATGTGTGTGTGTATATATATAATATGTAGGTGTTGGAAAATGTGGCAATCATACATCCCATCAAGTGGACATGTGAATAGGGACAATGCTGACTAACTAGTAGATTTGGGAGTACCGTCTTGTCAGACAAATCCACTTAAAACACAGGCAAACAATTCATAGTGGTAATCTTTGACCACTCAACCTGGGGTGATGAAGTGAGGTTATCATGATATAACCAGCTGATTGTTTTTCAGTAGCTGGGGCGCCAGTGGCACGCCTTTAGGAACCAGAATTTCGAATTTCAAAAGAATGCCCAGTTGCCACACTCAGTCACAAACCACGGCTGAAACACCATATTTAGACAATTAGATGGCAAATATGTTCCGACCCTGCTTGCTTTGCTTGCAGCCTTGCGACGACTTTGAAGCCATGGATCTTGCGTACCATCCTGAAAGTGGCTCAATGGTGTTGAAATTGGTGATTCGAGCTGTGGCTGCTAAAGCCCTGTTGGTCGAAAATTGCAGGGGATTATAATACCCAATATGTTTGAAATTATCAGCATGCATTCTGCTCACGTTGGTTGAATAAGATACTTGGAGTAATTGCCAAGTCTGAAAAGAGATGCAGGCTCCACAAGATCCGGTGTACATAGGGCACAAGAGCACGAGTTGCAGCGTGTCCCACATGGCAAAGCCTAAGGCTTTCAAATGGAAATGCTTGCAGCGGAAAATCTAGGGGTGTGATGGGGTGTGTCAAGATTCCTGCAGGGGCAGAAGTTTTATGTGGGTGGGTCAAAGTTAGGGCGCCCGTTGAAAGAGAGGTATGGGCGCATAGATAGAGACATTAAGCATGGCCAGACCACAATCTGAGCGCGCTTCGGTCTGGTTTTGTTGACATAGCCCCATGTTTGGAATGCCCAGGTTCGGGGTATTACGACCTACTATCGACTATCGACAGGGATTTATTTTGTACAAGTACTAGGAGGACATACTGGAGGCAGGTAGCCTACGAATGATCAGATATGGCATGAATTTTGCCATGTGCACAACTGAGACAACATGGTCTTTACGCGAAGCAAACTATATATTATATATGCATTTCTGTTTTCCAACAATTATTGAGCGCAATCGGTTTGGTTCACAGGTTTCCTTGAGAGCACTTCTCCGTTCATTCCTGTAATAGGGTCAGTTGTAACAGCTCTGAAACTGTGCAGGATTCATGCGTGTGTGTTTTACCTCAATTGGGTAGCCATCGGCTCTATATATCAACAACGTGAGGGACACGGCACAAGTCATAAGTAGTCATGGACTTCCCGTCTTGGCTTACCACGATCTTTCCAGGAGTGGAGAGGATGACCTGGGTTGCCTTCCGATGGAGCCGATGGTTCTCCCCCTATTTTCAAAGGGGTTTTTCTGTACCCACTACTATATACGGAATTCGATTCCTAGTGGTGGATGGAAGCTTATATAACTATTGGCCGAGAGCCGTCCAAATGCCATGGCGCAGGGGTGCCCAGGGCCGGTTGTGCCAGATCTGGCGCTACGAAAGTTGCGGAGCAGGGAGCGATGTTGAAATAGAGATATGATATCACGCGACATATATATATATGTATTATATATATATATGTATTATATATATGTGTGTATTATATTATATATATATGTATTATATATATGTGTATTATATATATATGTATACATGTATATGTCATACATATATATATATATATATTCCATTATATTCCTATTTTTTGAATCGGTTGTGTTTGAAGCTGTATTCAACTATATGGGTTGCGTGGTGATACCCCAACCATGGGTTTGCTCGACAGACCATTGGATGGAGAACACTAGAGAGGTCACCTGGAAATCAAAAAGCGCATGGCTACGACATAGTTGTGACACACTTAGGTTCCCAAAAAAGTGATTCTTTAGTATTTAGAATTAAAACAGTGCTAGAATTGTCTACATTTTTGAGGTGTTTTGGCAGGTACCACTTATTCCTCGCCATGTCTAAATAATCGGTAGGCCATACCTCAGCCTCAGCCTGCCCCGGGCTGTGACATGTGCCACGCTGTCTTGATGGTTCCAGCGGCAGTCTCGGAATCCAAGCGCGCCGGCCACGCGAGAAACCGCGCCCCTGGCATGGGTCCCAAGTGACACGCCGACCAGCATGTATAGCCAAATACAATTTTCATGAAGAATATGGTTGGCCAGGGTTTCAAATTTAGTGACTCTCCATGGAATTCAGGTGATTGATTTGCAAGAATTGAAAGTTTAACATGTTGGCCCTCTGGGCTACCTGTGTAGAGGCCCAGTTTGATACACGCCTGTTTGACCCTCACCTCCTTGGTGTTTGTTGTGTTTCGTTTTAGAGTTTGGTATATCTTGGATCGGCGGCTGGTGATCCTCTGTGGGCGGAAGATTGGACCATTTGGACAACTTCAAAGTGGAGCCGGAATTCCTTCAAGGTTATGACGTTTGTCTGTTGTAATCAGGAACTTTGAGCCGATTTTATATTTTGAACAGGCATTGTTCTCATTCAACCTCTGAGTTTTCACTTTTTGAACAGGGTAGTTGTCTCGGTCATCACTCATCGATATTCCAGGTCATGGCGCCCAAGAAGAAAACGGAGAAGGTGGAGGTCGCAGATTGCAAACTGGGACCCTTTATATAGTAGGTTCTTTTTATAGTTCATAATATGTATATATAATATACATCATATAATCATAATATTAATATGATAAATGTAATGGAAATACATGTCTGTTTACAGCATCTACACTGCGAAGGAGTTCTGGAAGATGTCCACCAAGTTGTGTTTAGTGTTGGGTGGTGAGTCTTTGAAACTCGTACAGGTAGGTTTTGTGACTGTGGAAGTCGTGTTCGATGTCAATCTCAGGTTGTGGATCCGATTGTCGTAATTTGTGGTTGTCAAACACAGGGTGTTCCAATGGGTTCATGAATCTGGGCTAGCACTGGCTTTTCTTTAATCCTTTTTCGGATGAAACTTGTAGTCAAGAGCAAGAGTTGGTCTGTGTTCCTGTAGACGGACAACTAACCTGCTTTGTCAGCAGGAAGAAGTTCCGCAGTCAGAGGACCGCACCGACCATTGGCGACACCCAGTTTCTTTTGGGAAGTTCAGATGTCATAGGCTGTCTACTACAAAGCCATCACCGGCATACCCCGGTATATGATATCTGCGCTGTATGCTTCTCTTTCGTAGATTTCCTTTGGTTTTCCTATAGGTTCTATATCTTTCCTGAAAAAAACAACGCCAGTCATGTCAATGTTGGCGGCGTTTCCGGACATTTTGTTAAAAGGATGAACCGGAAGAGCCGGAGATCCTGAAGAAATGTCTGCGGGCTCCTGGTCAGCTCTACTATGGAGACTGCAAGGTGCCATGGCTGGATTTTTTGTTGGTTGTGTATAGAATTAATTTAGAGAAAAAGGGATGAAAAAGGGATGGCGGGCGCATGGTGTCTAGAATGCGGATTGTCCCAGAATTTGCGCTGGATGTAGATACATCTAGATACGGATGGTCCCGGACTTGGTTGAGGCGAAACCCTTGGGAAACACCCATTTTCTGAGGGGTCCCACGAACCAATCCGATGAGGTAATGCTCAATGAGCTCAGCGTGTAGTGTATTGGATGTATCACCAACAATAGTGTATATATATATACATACACTTTTTATTATTTATTATTATGTTTTTAAAATGTTACATTGCATAAAATCTACATATGCATACCATACATAATGACCAATGTGTTTACTGGAGGCTCCCGGAGTTACACAGGATCCCCTCGACGACTGAGGCGGGCTACAAGGAACGCAAAGGCAGATGGATCAGACATGGCAAGGGACTGCAGGCAGCTCATTCAAGTCCTGGGGAACTTGGGGAGAAGATGCCGAGGTATCTGCAGAACCCCCCTCGATGTTGCGATGTTCCCTCGATTTTGTGATGATTCTATAGCTATTGCATATTATATTAAGAAGGCATAGCATGGCATAGCGTGGCATAGAGAAGGTCAGAATTTCAGCCGTTTTCGGCAGTGCATTATGTCACATTGTGCCACTGATACCTGGCAATCGCAACTGTTGCTGGAGGTGGTGACAGCACTGGCTCCAATGCCACATGCCTTCGAGACGGTGGTTCTTTCCAGCTACGAAGGTTCCTTGGGGGCCCTGTGGGGACTTGATAGTTGGATGAAGTCAAATCCCTAAGTTGGTAAACACAATGGGGAAGGAGTTATTGGACAGGTCCTTTGTGAGAAGCAGATGTGGCGGACCATATTTAATTTGGGATATATTTGGGTTTTGGTGTTTCGCCAAATGAGTGGCTTCAAAACACTAAAGATGCAAACTTTTGAAAGCAAAAAACAGAGGTTGAGTGAGTGAGTCAAGATTTTGGGATACACACTGGGTGGCTTGGCGATCCCACTGCGACCTCATAGTAGCTAGTGGTCAGTAGGGGGGTTCTCGCAAAAAGATGCGGCTGTGTTTGGTTCCCGGTAATCAAAAATGGCACTTGAAAATCCGCCGTTTTTAGATCCTGAATGATACTGATAATATTGATTGATGTTTTTTCCAGCTATAAACATCCATCTATTTGCGATTTCGAATTGCCACGTTTGATTACTGGATGGTAATTTGCTTAGAATCTCATTGTGGGGCAGTTTTGAATTCACATCTGGCCTGGGCTGATCCTTCCAGGTCAGTGGGAAGAAGATCAGCCAGATGGCGAGGGAAGCTACAAGTGGCAACTTGGTGCTCGTGGACTAAACAGGAGATTATATAATATTATATATATGTGATATGTCTAAGTCTTTAAATTTATGTTTGAATATCACAAATTGTAGTACAAAACAATACGTGCATAATTTTTACACAACATGTATTAAATGTGTTTCAATGTGTAGATACCTCTCATTGATGATTTGATATGCGTTGTATTGCTTTCAATGTTGGGAGACGTGCGTCTATGTATAAATGAGATACGGTCAGAATAAGCGTAGGTCATTTTAGTATAAGGAGGGGCGCAGTTGTGCTGAGAAAGTGCACCAAGCCATGAGCTTGGTGTAAACAACGCAAATATATTTGTGTACCTTCACGCAATGGGCAAACTTGACGAAGCAAATTCAACCTGCGGCGCCCGTGTTTCTTGCGATTGCCCTATCATTTGTTGTCCAAGGTGATTGAACCGTTGCTTTTTGCAGGCAGTTTGTTTTTTTTTCCAGGCCCCAAAGCAGTAGATGTCAACTAAACCAAACGCAATTGACTTCTCAAATGGATCGAAAGTAATGGTTGGTCTAATTCTGAATTCCGCTTTTGATCTTTTATTCAATTCGACTTTTTTCTTCCTTAGTGTCCTTTGCTTTTTCTTTCCTTTCTTTTTCTGTTTATGTTTCTTTTAAGATTAGATGCAATTGAAAGTTGATTTAAATCAAAATTGAATTTAAATTATCCTTTCTCTATCAAATTCTGCAAAAACCGTTTAATTTGTCCATCATTACCATTATTCTTCCTTCGTTTTCTTTTCTTGGTCCTTCCTTCCTTTTTCCTTTTATTTTTCAATTTTTACTATTTGTTCCACATTCTTCTTTTTTCCTTTCTTGATCATCAAGGTGTTCTAAGTTAGCGACAACCTTAGCGATAACCTAGCGATGACTTTTTGATGGACTCATTTGAATTTGTTTGCTTTTTCAAAATACCAGACAAGCAACAAGAAAGGGATGTGAAGATCCTTGCCCAAAAAAATATTTTGGAAATCTTTGATGAAACTGATTTTGGAACTCGCTGAACTCATTGATGAACAGCAATTCCGCTGCATTTTTCTAGTTTTCAATGTTGATTTGAACCAAACACTGCAAAGAGATAGGCCACCCCCACCCAGAAAAAACGATGACCTATATTTTCGCACCAGGCGTAAACAATTGATTTTGACAGCGGCCCCTACATACACACATATATATATATACACATGTGTTTAATCTATTTGTATCTTTGTATTTACCACATATACATATATGCATGCTACAGTTTACATGATTTATTTATATATATATCACATTCATATACATATATATATATACTATTTAGTCACATGTTTACACAGTCTTGCAGGGTTCAACATTATTGATCTTGGGCTGAAGTTTATTTCGCATCATTTTTTAAATAGGTGCCGACATGTTTCAAATGTGTGACCCCAGATTTGAATCTAGTTCAACATGTTTGTCTGCTTCCGAGCAAACTGAAGAATTTCACAGATTTATAGTGGCATTCTATAGCTCAAGGAGGTGCACACTTGCAATTCTGGCATTGACTTTGGTGTCTTTCAAAATTAAACTGGGGTGCCTGCTATCCCCCCGACGTAAAATGACACAGTTTGGACCCAGGAGTGATGGGAGTTCCTATGAAGGAAACATGGAGCAAGGAAAGATGCACGGCCAGGGCCGCTTTGTTCCTTGGATTTCCTTGGCAGCAATGTGGGATGGGAATGTCATGTGTGAGGAAAAGCGTAAACTGATGGTTTATCCTAAAAGGGGTGAATCAATTTAATATACATGTGCGATTTACTATTTCGAGGACCCATCTATTAATAAACATAATGCACCAGGGAGTTCTGAATGCAGGGTTGACAGTGTATGTTTTTTTGTGTTTGATTGGTCCCCATGTAGTGTCAACCCTCCAGCGGAATTCAGAGTTCCTCCAGCACAGCGATACCCCAGCGTCGCAGCTTCAATGCAAGATCCTGGGGGTTCGCGCGGGCTACCGTAATAAATAAGAAGGGATGATGAACCAACCATCACGCGTGGGATTTCCAACAGAGTTTCCAGTTGATCAGGTTTGGCCGGATGGCAGTAGCTATGAAGGCAGCTGGTTTCAGGGTGCCTTACATGGACAGGGTCGCTTTGACTCGCGCTTCGATGGAGGTCGCTACATGCAAGGTGCGACGGCGAAAAGTAGGTCAGCGATGTCAATAATGGAGAATGCACCGAGATATTTCGTTAGATATGTTGCTGAAAGTCTTCACAATGATGGTATTTGTTGCAGGTTAGCAAGGGCCTAAGGTTAGCCATGTCTATTTGATTTTGTGCAAATTCCTGAGCCAGCAAGAACTGTTGCCGAAGCTGGGTCAACTATCCAAGAGACTCCATGAAGCGGCAACGCTGCTGCAGATACCACTGTAGACCAGACTTGATGAGCCTAAAGCTAGCAGCTGGCGAGCTGTACCCTCACTGCGAATCTCAGCCTTCCATGATTTCAGATATGCTTCAATCATTCCATATGTTTTTTCCATATCCATTGGCATCTTTTCATGCTGTAGCCACTTCTTTCCCAGCCACATCCTTCAATCACAGGAAATACATAAATAGTTCATTCCATAAATGAACGAATCCACCGAATTTCACAAACTGTTACGTATACATACAACAGATGTATATAGATACATACGAGTAGATACATAGATGCATAGATACATAGATAGCTAGATTGGTAGATGCATGCATCCATCCCATCCCATCCCATCCCATCCATCCATCCATCGATCCACACCGAGTACGGCCAGCAATGGCTCCCAGCCACCAGCAGCCCGCAGCGCAGGGCAGTTCCACTACAACTGCTTTCAAAAGTCCGACGGTCGTTGGGTGGACATCTTGCAGCACATCAAAAGCCACGAACTCAGGGAGCAACCAGGCTGAAACGCTGGGCTGGCGAGGGTGCAGGAGTTGGCAAGAATATGCATCAAGTATGTCCGTACGAATGTCGCAATCACATATCATACATGTATACAGGGTATATTGGACGTTTTCTTAAACATATGCAGTATGTGTATGTACGGTAACGACATCTAAATATGTGGAGGGCGGGCCAGACCGCGAGGCCCCGGAGGTAGTATGAAATACCAATTTGTATGTTTAAATGAATTGGATTCCGTAAGTTTAAATGGCCGGGCGGGCCAAGGAAAACCTTCCCGGAGGTAGTCTAACATAACTCCTCATATATTTAAAAGCCCGTATATTTAAATGTAGTTTCTGTATATGTATGGATATACTGTAATGTAAAGTAACACAATGTAAAGTAGTCTATCCATGGTATGCATGGTATGCGTGGTATGCCTAGTTTGCATGGTATGCATGGTATGTACCATGGTAGAGTAGGGGAAGGTAGGGTAAGGTAGGGCATGGCATGGCATGGATGCATGGATGTATGGATGTATGTATGCATGCATGTATGTTTGTATGTATGTCCGTATGTATGGATATTCACATATTTAAATATCATCAAATATATATAATATACATATATTCAAATTTAGATATTCGTGTGTGCATATAGATACGACGGTGTTGCGGACAACTGATAGACTTGACAAGCTAAATTTAGGTAAGGGGACGTCAGACTAAGTGGGTGAGTTTTCTTTAGGAGGTAAATCATGGCATTTGATGGTTTCAATGTGATAGACTGGGGCAGAAAAGGTGCCGTTGATTGGTTGTGTTTCCCCTTGAATTCAGCACTTTTTTTGTTTATGAGAATTATCAGCGTGTTGTTCGAACATTAGCCTGTCCATGTGGTGTAAAGACGTATCCAGGTGAGTTTGTACTTTTGTTTCGCAGTCAGGCTACTTTGGCGATGATTCAAGACTATGTTGAGGTGACCAACCTGCGATCTATCGGAACAGCATAGCGATAAACCCTGACAGGCACCAAGAGGCGATCACAATTTTCCTACATACTCGTAATTGAAACACCAGTTACAATGTGATGTCAGGCAGTCAGGGATTCTAACTGGTTGGAGCCCATGATTGTAACATTCAGCCAGATTCACTTTCCCATGGCCGAGGATTCTCGAAGGCAACCCATTGGCAAGGGTGGAGCAAGAAGGCCCCAAGAACAAGACCAAGGCCAAGGCTACCAAAGGCGCAGCATGTGGGTCACCCGGTCGACCCGGTACTGGGTGCCGGGTGTAAAGAACCATGTACTTTTTGAGGGGAAGGGTGGGCAATACTTCAGGGCATTGCAGTGTCAACAAGGAGGCAGCGATTGATGGTTGCAGTACAACATATATAGTCAGTTGTGTCAGTTGATCCTATCAACATGTAAAGAAAACATTGGTTTTTTAATTTTCAACTTAAACATGAGCCAATGGCTGTGACTACTTGAATGTCAGAGGCGACGTATTTCCAGACTGGGCGGTCAATTGAGCCACTGTTGCGGCATCAATGGTGGATGCTCAAGTCTCTTTTTGGCCCAAGACGCTGGTGATTTGCAAGTAAACTAAGTAAACTGTATCAGGGACCTCGAGCGATGCAAGTGGATGATTTTTTTCTGGTCACTGCTGTCCATGTTGTGATCTGAAAAATGCGGTTCCCCGTATCAACCAATGGTTGCCCATTCAAAATGACATAAAAGGACAAACAAATTGGCGGATAACGTGGGGGTTCTTATTTTAGGAAACCCAAAATGTGCAGGAAAACAAAGATCTTTCTTCCACTAAATATGGCGATCAAACATGGAGATTTCCGTCAGCCTTTCCTTCACTAACTGCCTTTCTGACTTGGGCCGCAATGGCAATGGGAGAAGAATCACAATGGGAAGTTGCGGAGATTGCCAAAGCACTGCAGGATCACACTGCTGCTTGGCTCCATATTACCGTGACTGTGTGGGAATGCGCGTCTAGGTATTGAAATCTGCGGGCAAAAACATTCTCACTTGAAGGTCACCATTTTAAGAGCCATGTTGCTTTGAACATTTGGAAGTATTTTGAGATTTATGCGAAGAATTCCCGGAGCCAACTTGCTTCTGGGTATTCTGGTGATTTTCCATTGTCATGTTTGACCAATGGGGTCAACCTGAAGTCATCGGACATGATCGGACACGCCTGAACTGTGCCGGGTGATGCCCGGTGATTTCAGATACCCCCTTGTGATGTTCTTAGAATAGAAATGTCGTCCTTTTGCATCCGGTCATGGACTCATGGACTATTTTTGGTTGTTCATGTTGTTTGACGTATGTGGTTATATATATATATGTGTGTGTATTGCCCTTGTTTTTATGTCCAAGCGAGCGAGGTTCTGCCTATTAGAGTGCGTATGTACCGTTCATTCCCAAGGTTGTAAATGTTCCATTGCAAGGGACCATGCGTCCATGAACAGTTCGACCCTCAAGAACTTTGTATATTTGTTCAGGAACTTGTATGAGTTGCACATGTTTTGCACAAGTTCACTATATGTATTTTTGTAATATCTATAATCTGCTGAAATGTTTTTTGATTTGCATGATATGTATGTATTTTTTACACATATATATATATATGATATATATGTGTGTGTGTTAATTAATTAGTTATTTCTTCATTTCTTTATTTTGTGTGTTCAATGCACTATATATATATATATACTTTTTTATTACACATACATATATATATAGTACATTTAAACTACATTTATATATTGCATATATATTTTTGATATAACATACATGTTACATATACTTTTATTACATGTATATCCCATATTTATAACACATATTTAACATATATATATCATATATACTACATGTATAATGATATTTATATATATGTATATATTACATATATATATATGTAAACATAAATATATATTATACAATTCTGTGATTATGTGTATATATATATACATAAGGACTTTTGGGTTTTGTCCCTCAAAAGTTCCGTTTGTGCTGAACCATGAATTAGTCGACCCTTGGGCGGCGATCCTGGCATTCGGCGATGAGGTGGCGATTGCAGACCTTCAAACCTCTATGAAAGTGTCTCGGCTACAAGTTAAACTTACGGTTTACCCGAGGTAAACCTACAAACAGAATTTCCATTCGGAAAAGGATCTAGAAATGGTGGTTTTCCACATCTATGCTGATAGATGCAACAGATGCAGCTACTGTATAGTTAATGAGGGGGGCTACCAACCCACTTGCATCACCAGGGGATTTTGGGGGCTGCAGGGCCCCACCTTGTATGAGCTGAACCGGTTCGCCACTCAAGGGCAACTATCTCAAGGAGGTGGCTGAAAAAATCAGGCTGGTAGATTGTATATGTTTGTTGGTAGTTGTATCCCAGTTAGAGGTTCTATCACCATGAAGGTCTATATATCTACCACGCCACATCTACATCATCCGCTTGCCGCTTGCTAGATTCAACTGCGGATGTGGTTCCCAATCTGGTGAAAAGAAAAACATGCAGGACAAAACAAATGCAATGTCAAATCCACTTCTGTTAGCGCTTATCCCCTGGTTTGCTGTTTAAACATCTTAAAACATGCTTTGTATTGGTTCCCTGTTGTTGTGGGAAATGGTCTAGAGATAGCTTACTGTAACTACAGCTAGAGTCCCCATTCTCTGCTGCCCAAGGAGCTTTTCGATCATCAAAGCAGTTTGTTGATCCGTGAGATTTGTCGCGCCCTGGCGGCTGAGCCCAATGACGCAACTAGTTTTGATCCAAATACCTGTTTGAAATGTGATAAATGTCTAAAACCTTGAAACCATCACACTTTTAGGAACCCCACAAAACAAGAACTGGAATATTGAGCCCCGGATGACACACTGGCACACCCTAAAACCCCAAGGGGTGAGGTGGGATCAGGGCGGAGAAGTTGGAACATGGACGATGGTGCCCTAAACTTGGCAATTCATAGATGCCTTTTTTCCCCCGGTTAGTTGGGTAGGAGAGGAGTACACCTATTTCCACAACCACTTTTTGGTGACGAATAGTTTGTCCAACCCCCTATTTGTCAGAGATTTCCGACATTGTTGCCACAGCTCATGGTGTCAGTGTCTCACCATCCATATTCATCCTCCATCCTTAAAAGAAACAAATAAAAACACATGTGTTGGTCCAAAAAAGATCATTGATCATTCATCCTTTAAAGATAATGCTGTTTCAAATGATCCAACGCATGCAATTTCTCCACGGGTGGCTGTCCCTTTTTTCACCGGAGCCTGGGGGGTTGTTGAGGTCTCCGGCCTGGTCCAAGCCAAACGAATTCACCCGAGAAGGTCAGTGGAAGTGCTGTGATGGGAAACTTTGGATTGGATTTCACCAGGAAAAATCATAACCATGAAGAAAGGGCGCTGCAACAAAACGTGCTTGACATTTAGTTTTTTGTCTGAATACAATCCCAGAATCTTTGATTAATTCTGCTCATGTATGGTTCCAAAACATTGGGGATATTCATGCAGATGGAATTTCCGTTTTAAACAGAGAAAATTACGGTTCATTGATATGAACAGAATGCTTCATATTTAAATAAGTATATATATATATAGATATCTCTTTCTGTCTTTCTTTCTACCTATCTTTTTCTTTCTATCTATCCATCTAATCTAATCTAATCTAATATAGTCTAGTCTCGTCTAATCTATCTATCTATCTATCTAACTATCTATCTATCTATCTATCTATCTATCTATCTATCTATCTGTCTATCGATCTATCTATCTATCTATCTATCTATCTGTCTATATGTCTTTAAATCTATCTTTCTATCTATCCGTCTTTCTATCTATCTATCTATCTACCTAACTAGCTATCTATCTTTCTATCTATCTATCTGATTCTATCTGATTCTATCTGATTCTATCTGATTTTATCTAATCTTATCTATCTTATCGATCCATCTATCGATCCATCTATCTATCTACCTGTCTACCTACCTACCTATCTACCTATCTATCTATCTATCTATCTGTCTATCTATCTATCTATCTATCTATATGTCTATCTTTCTTTCTTTCTTTATTTCTTTCCTTTCTTTCTTTCTTTCTTTCCTTTCTTTCTTTCTTTTTTTCTTTCTTTCTTTCTTTCTATCTATCTTTCTATCTAATCTATCTTTCTACCTTTCTATCTTTCTTTCTATCTATCTACCTGTCTGTCTTTCTTTCTATCTAGCTAGGTATCTACCTATCTATCTATCTATCTTTCTTTCTATCTATCTATCTATCTAACCTAATCTAAGCTAATCTTTCCTATCCTATCTATCTTTCTATCTATCTATCAATCATATCAATCTGATCTATTTTCCCCTTTCTCTCTATGTATCCTTCTATCTATCTATCTATCTATCTAACTACCTATATGTCTATCAATCGATCAATCTATTTATCTTTCTATCTATCTTGTTTATCTATCTATCTATCTATCGATCGATCGATCTATCTATCTTTCTATCTATCTATCTGTCTTCCTATCTATCATTCTAATCTATCTATCTAATCTATCTATGTATCCATCCATCTATCTATCTACCTAGCTAATCTTTCTAATCTAACCTAGTCTAATCAAATCAAATGCAATCTTTCTATCTTTCGGTCTTTCTATCTTTCTATATTTCTATCTATCTATCTATCTTTCTATCTATCTTTGTATCTTTCTATCTGTCTATCTATCTATCTAAATAGATATCTATCTTTGTATCCTTCTAACTGTCTATCTAGCTATCTGTCTGTTTGTCTGTCTGTCTGTCCTTCTATCTAATCGCATTTATCTATCTAATCTTTTCTAATCTTTTCTAACCTTATCTATCTCAACTTTCTATCTATCTATCTGTCTATCTATTGATCTTTCTTTCTATCTATCTGTCTGCCTATCTATCTACCTATCTATCTATCTGTTTTTTTCAATTTAATCTGATCTAATCTTATCTAATTTTTCTATCTATCTATCTATCTGTCTGTCTGTCTGTCTGTCTATCTACCTATATGTCTATCAATCGATCAATCTATTTATCTATCTATCTATCTTGTTTATCTATCTATCTATCGATCGGTCTATCTATCTTTCTATCTATCTGTCTTTCTATCTATCATTCTCATCTATCTATCTAATCTATCGATGTATCCTCCATCTATCTATCTACCTAGCTAATCTTTCTAATCTAACCTAGTCTAATCAAATCAAATGCAATCTTTCTATCTTTCGGTCGTTCTATCTTTCTATATTTCTTTCTATCTATCTATCTTTCTATCTACCTTTGTATCTTTCTATCTGTCTGTCTGTCTACCTATCTATCTATCTAAATAGATATCTATTTTTCTATCCTTCTATCTGTCTATCTATCTATCTGTCTGTTTTTCTGTCTGTCTGTCTGTCCTTCTATCTAATCGTATCTGTCTATCTAATCTTATCTAATCTTTTCTAATCTTATCTATCTCAACTTTCTATCTATCTATCTATCTATCTTTCTATCCATCTATCTATTTGTCTATCTATTTATCTTCCTTTCTTTCTATCTATCTGTCTGCCTATCTATCTACCTATCTATCTATCTGTTTATTTCTCAATTTAATCTGATCTAATCCTATCTCATTTTTCTATCTATCTATCTATCTATCTGTCTGTCTGTCTGTCTGTCTGTCTGTCTGTCTAAATCCGAAGCCGAATCCAAATCCGAATCCTAATCTAATCTAATCTAATCTATTCTAATCTAATTATCGATCGAGCTTTCTATTTTTTAAATCTTCATGAGATTGGGTGAGGTATACCCTTTAATTTGTAGCACAGAGAGTACTAATGCAGCCCCTGGATTTTTTGTACCTGAGTTTCTCATCTGATGTTTTCAGACCATAGGACAGCCAGCAGGTGGTGCCACCCATCGAAGATCTGATCTCTGTGGATCTCGATCGCGATATGAAGACAATTGCTCTATCCACCGCCACTCGGTTTGGCTCATGATTTTTTGACCTCACCATGAAGGCTAGACTAATAGTAATTTCTGGGAAATTTTCAAGAAACAAACGCAACAGGATCAAAAAGAAAAGATCGCCTTAAACACTTAACTTACAGGATTTACAACAATTTAAATACAATGTATATCCTTTTTGGGTTGTGCCAGTTTACCAATCCAACCACTACTCCATTGAATGGTTCCAACTGACCAGTTCACCGGGTCATAGGTGCCAGAGGTGAACGGCTCCACATGGTTTTGTCTCCTAGAAACATGGTCGAGGCCAAGCAGTTTTATGTTGAACCCGAAAAAACAAAACTGAAAGAAATGTGGGTTTTTGTGGGACGGGTTCCCTTTGATGTTCTTGTCAGTGCTTAAGTTTTTTGGATCTCTATCTGGAATTTCATCAGAGGTTGTCAGGAAGATCTACAGAAAGCCGCAATATATTTATCTTGTTTTATATTCACATTCAACATAGTTTCAGAACGTTTCAATGTCAATTTCAAAACTCCAAGGGTTACACATGATTTTTGTTTCCTCAGAAAACCGTGAATTTGGGACTGCAGGAGCCAGACGAGCCGCAGCCCGTCAAGCAAGATGATGAGCTCGGTGAGCTTCCGGAGCTACCGCCACAGCCGCCACAGCAGGACTCCTTCGGGAAATGACCATGTACTTTATGTATTCCCTTACATTATGTAATATTCATTTGCCATCCAGGTATGTATATGTATATGTGTGCAATTTATATTCACATAATTTTTCGGAGAAATATATATATATATATAATATACCCGATATATACTGTAATGACTTCACATTCTGATGTCACAGGAATGATTGTTAGGGTTGGGAATCATCCCCAAGTGGCCTTATTTCATCCATGTTCTGGCGCGTCATTTGTTTTTATAATTCAGCCGGATATTTATTTATATATACAATTATGTATTGCATATGTGATGAAATTTGTACTCGTACATGTAATAGTTGAAACAGTTGAGCAGTTTCAAAAAACCTAGTGTTTGCTGATGGTCATCGCCATTTGCATGATGGCATGTAACCATGTATAAATTAATTAAAGTGGTTTTAACCATCAACAACACACGGATGTGTTTTTCCACTGGTGGTTGGTTGATGAGTCTAGGTTTTTAACCCGCCTCTCTAGCTGGGATTTTCAAGATCCATGGAGTGGGAAGCCAAATGAACACCAACCATTCAGGGATTTTCCCATACCTTTTGACATTGTTGCCTTGCCAAATGCTGTTGTTTCTGGGACTATAAAAAAAAATCAAGACGATCATTGAAGCGGATTTGCTCTAGGTTTAGATAGATGTTGGAATGATGATGTAGTTGGGTGGCTTCAAGCACGGCCTCACTTTCCACTACCTTCCAACCCATGATGATCAGGGAAGTCAACCCAAAATGGCCCAGATGTGACAAAATGATCCAATGTTGGTTTATTTCAGATTTAAGAAACACTGTACATGAGATTTGGATGTTCTGCCCATGATTGGAGCTCGCAACGCAACTCCAAGATAAACATATAGAGCCCATTGACTAGTCTAGTTGCACACAAAACTTTCTGGGGGCACCACTTTATGTGGAAGACGGGCTTGCCATCGATTTTAGGGAAGTCGAACAACCAAATCGCAAGAAGCACGTAGTCTGACGAAAATCAAGGCCCACAAAGACAAAGAGCCTCTTTTTTCACACAAAAGGATAGAGAAACAACAATCAATGAACACATAGCTATTTTACAATTAAAATATGTATATACAATAGTTTTTACAAACATAAAACAACAAAAAAAGAAAACTCAAAGTAAACAAAAAAACGTGGTGCCGGGAGAGGTGGGCCCGGCGTCGGCGAAGAGAAACAAATCCAGACAACAATGTAAACAATTCAAAAACACATGAGAAAATAAAGGAACCATACAACAGACAATCAAACAACACATCAGAAACATTAGATTCATTTTGAGTTCAGTGTGTATGGTTTATTCTGATTTCATAAGCCTGGTAAATGTGGAGTTACTTGGAGCCCGATTATTTACCTTCAAATTTGTTACTTAGATAGCAAATCCTGCTGTTTGCGGTGCTAAGCTGGTTGGTGGTTTTCACATATTGATTTTACCAAGTACATCACCAGTATATAATGGATTTTCTTGCACACTTGACAATTTGGCTGGTGGTCACAAAACACGATTGGCCATCCCTTAAAAGTAGGAGGATGCTCCGGATTCGCAATTCTGTCAATGAGTGGCTCAAGATCGTCAGGAGAGGAGTTCCCTCATGAGCATTTTTTCAAACCGGGTCCGGGGCCCAACGCGAGTGGAATTGTTTTTTAGGTTTTTTGGGCCCATGTGGATGTGGCTCAGACATGAATTGCCAATGAAGTGAATAAGTATATGCACTTCTTCATGCAGAGCCATGTCCATTATCGAGGGATTCATAGTTGGATTCATTCTGGGACATTTTTGTAAACATAGCTTCTGGCTGGAAAACTTGCAAAGCTATGAAAATCACAAGTGTTAATAGATAAATCATCTATAGACAATTCCATATCTATATGTTGTTTTACTGGGGGTATCTGTGGTGTAAAACTTTGACTCAAGGCGGACGCCGAGTCCATTTATGCATCCAGGTACTGTAAGACGGAGGCAAATATTTGAACAGGATTGCTTGTATCGACTATATCGATACATATTTGTGTACAAACATAATCAAGCATATACATTATATATATAATTATATATACATGTATATTCGTATGGATGTTTATCAACACATAGATGTACGGCCAGATACGTGGATTATATTGTGAGTCAATGATCATTTACTTGTGTAGGTTAGATGGCTTAGATAAACTGCATTAGGTTAGGTGAGGTCAAGGTAGAGATATAGGTAGATTCTTTGCATTTTAGGGACTCTTTGTTTTGCATGTATACCTACCTTGTAGATGTATGCCTCCAACATATTGTTTCATAAGCCGTCTACGGCAGGGTCCCAGACAACCTTCAGCTCCCATGTCCCTGAAGATTTCATTCATTTTCCATGTCTCCTCATGTACATGTCAGCATATTCATGTATCCCAAATTGGGGTACCCTAAACTCATGGTGACTTGGATGATTTGATGGTGTCCCTATTTGAGGACCCATATCATTCTACTTTGTCTCGTGTTCTTCAATTTTCAATTTTCTCTTTTTGGAAAAAGTGAATGCTTGGGACTTTCCTTTTTTGCGTATGGGTCTAAATAAACACCCCCGCAAAATGGATGCTTAATGCAGGAACTGACACATTCCAATTTTGACTCATAATTCCCATAATGTTTGCTCCAGATAAATAAAGTTGACTGGTGATGTGGATGCAGTATTGGGGAGAATTATTGGAAGCAAACGGCAGTCCAGCACCTCTTACAGATTCAGCTGATATATATATATATATATCCTAGAAATATGGCTCCAGTAGTCGGCGATTATGTTCCAAGCCTATCGCTATCCAAATACGGGGTGTCCGGTGCGTCCGGTATTTATAAGTGGTACTACGTAGTCATCATCCAGATCTGAGTCACGGCAAAAAACAAAAAACCACAGCCGTCGCAAAGCTAACAAGCCCTCGCCTCTCCGCTCCCACACCCCGTCGGACCAACAGACATGGTGGGCCCAGTCCAGCGCGTTGTCTACGACCTGAAAGCGAGGTTCAATGGGGACAAGGCCCTTGTTCGGCGAGAGCTCCTCCGCCGTGGCTACCGCCCCGCGCGGGTCAGCCAGCTGCTCCTGGAGTGCGACCAATTCCCTCCTCAAAACCAGCAGCAGCGCGACAGGCAGAGCTTCCAGGACCGGCCGAACATGAAAAAAGACATGATACCCCAGATATCGAATTAACTAGAAATGAATGATACACCATCGATCATCTTGAGTCTATCACAAATGTTGGAGCAAGTATACAGTAGGTTGATCACCCATGCCCCGATGCATCTCATCGAAAACAACGCGAATTGGACTTTATGAGGTCTAAAAAGATAGCAGTTTCGAATAAAAAAGGACATGATATAACGATCAGCCTGTCAGGATTCCGACATCTCTTAGTGTAGAAAGATCAATGGATGCAACAGAAAATGAAACAATCGAACAAAGAATTCACACCCCTACAGTAGATCCACTGCTTATGTAAAAAAAAAACGAAATATAAGAATATGTATATATATATATATATATATGTATATATCACATACATCTGGATGTCTCTACGACCTCGCTATTCCAGAGCCTTTAAATTGGACCCGCCCGGAACTGAACTAACTCACATCGAAGGACGTGGTCACAGGCACCATGATGGAGCTGCAGAGGCTCCGCATGGTGCGCAAGAACCTGCTGGGGGTGGCGCGCCGCTTCCGCCAAAGGCGGATCAGCGGCAGGAGGAGGTGGGTCCGGAATGTGCAACGACACATCCGGGCCCTTCTCAACCAAGTGCACATCCGAGACCTTCAGGTGAACCAAGTGGGCTGAGGCCGGGGAATGGGACTGAAGTCCAAAAAGGGGGGGGGAAGGAAGACTCATTTACTATATATCACTTTTCGCGAAGGGCGACTTTCTATCTTCCATGCAACGATGCTTCAAATCAAACCATTAAGAATATAGGCATCGATATGCAACTTCAAGACTTGGCATTCGAAAGTCCTATTTGGCAAGACCCGTTGTACGTATTAAAAGTCCGGTCTTTACATCCCCTGGACACCCCGAAAACACTGACTGTACACCATGATATAAATCGAAGGATGTAGTGACCATTCCACTTCGCTAAAGATTGCGACGTCCCCAATTCCCATCCACGGAGCCCCCATCGCCATACAATCCCAGAGAAGGTGTGCGATATTATTCTACTACACACCGATCTACAGATGATGAAGATAGAGAGAGAGAGAGAGAGAGAGAGAGCGGTAAGAGAATGACAATGTGTCCTTACATGAATGCACGCATATAAACATCTTGTAATGATATCGGACGCCGGATTTTTTTTCCAAAAGAAAATCGATCGACCACGTCGCCCTGCCAAAACGCCCCGCCGCAGGAACAGGAGAGCGGCAAGCAGAGCACAGAAGTCGCCGCACAGGCCCCCCTCCCACCGAACAAACGAGCCCTGGGGTCCCCAAAAACCATTGATTGTCGTGTAAATGGTTTTGTCTGAGAATAGAGTCCCCCCAAATCCATTAGTTAATAACCATGTTCCTTATTAAAACATATTGAAACAGATTTCCCCTATTTTAGACAAACCCAAATCCACTAATCATTGGTTAGTCAAACCATTTGGCTTGGTTAAATCTTAAAAATCTCATTTCTGGCCATTTTTCAAACTTTCCCAACGTGTCCCAGCCACGGCGCGTTTTTTGAGCTGAGACCACCACGACCACGCAGCAGACGGTACGGAACACCGCCCAGAGTGTGCAGATGGTACGGAGCCCAAGGGGTTTTTGTTTCTTCCGATGGAGGATACAATGGGGTACCATAAACTGCTGTATTTGCTGTTTATATTTGATATGTTATATATATAATTATTTATACATAGTCATACTATGATGATGTTTTTGTTTCCTAGCAAATGGGACTGCTCTTCCAAAGTGTAATTTGTATGACGAGTACGTATTCAATCAACAACTGGGGGACCCAGGAAATGTGGTTCGTTGTACCAACAACTGTAGATTCAACATGTTAAACACGAAAACCAGTTTCAAGCGTGCTTGAGGTGTACCTTCACTGCAGGGCTTTTGAACGTGCAATGATGTTGTACCAGCACTTCCAGAAATCAAATCGGTTGCTCTGTGCTATGGTGTAAAAGATCTATGTTTATCTATCAAGTTTCACTGAGAGATGAAAACCCATACTTCTCTAATGCGATCTCAAACAGTGATACAACCTCTGAAAAATAAAAACCATTTAGCCCACACTGGCAGCTGGACATGGAACCCCTCTTTCGATTCTTGCTATTTGGTTTTGACCAGGGGCTGTGAAAGCACAGGACTCTCACTACGATGCTTCGGAGGTAATGTGGCTGTTTCTTTTTTGATCTTGTCAGCTCACAGGGTGTCTCACACAATATGTATGCTTATGTATGCACATACAATCATATACATATCATTACATGCCAAAAGGTGTCGTTTTGACACCCCTTAAGAGGGCGCATCACTACGGTACCCCTTAATTTCCAAGGTGGTTTCAACCCTCTTTTGGGCCATGTGGGATAAAAATCTCATCTTTGTTATCTGAAGCCACCGAAGCCACCCATGTCAGTGAGGGGGTGGATAGGGTGTCACTATGGCACCCCTGAATGAGTTGGGGGGTCCCCCAACCAGTGACGCGCGTGTCATGAAAATTTATGTCGGAAAATCCAAAGATCAAAGTTTTTTTAATTGTTTTTTGGTCCAGCTTGCCTCCAACCATCTCTCCCCAAAATGGTACTATCAACATTGTTATCGATAAATCATGTTTTTTGGTTTGGCTGAGGGGTGGGGCTGCTACATATCCTTAGAGCACTTACCTTCTGAAATCATAGCACCACCCCTCGGGAGGTGCTGGTATGTAACAGTATATATTATATATTTATATACATGTGCTATACATAGTACGGTATATACCTACATCTCCCAACTATTCATGTGTTCGCATTTTCCCTAAAAGGCACAAATGTATACAAATGTATGCCGGCTTGATGGACAAGCATATGGAGAAAAAAAACGCAACCTCGTGCAAAACTATCATGAAAGAAAGGTGGAGTAAAGTCGCATGTTGGTCGGGCAAAGTCGCCTTTTGGTCGGGCAAAGCCGCCTGTTCAGGAAAGTGCTTTTGTTAAGTTATTCATAAGAACTGCAAAGTCATGGAATATGCCAGTGGTCCGGCAGAGTCGCCTTTTGAGCCAAAAGAACGCACATTTGCACGAACAGGCACAACAAATGAGCTAGGAAGAGAAGAGATAGATATACATGTATATGTAGTGTGTCTGTGTGGGTTTTGTTCTCATGTTTCCAAAGTTCTCAGGAGAGTGTAATTGTTCGTCTTCAATGGTCACAAAGCCGTGACCAAACGAGATGCGTTTTGGTGGGGGCATCTTTAAACCTGCATGATTTTCTGACATGTTTGGTTTTTCTTTTCCTGTAGATTTGGGCTGAATACCGAGTACGTTGACCATTTTGTTGGGAGTTCATTGAAAGCACTGATCAGATCCAACTTGTTGAAACAACCCTTCAGGCATACATATACATATATATACTGTATATTTATTGTGTCTATTTTATTTTCATATATATATATATACATATACCTATAAATACACATCCTCATATATGCGATTGGTTTATACTCCCACGATTTCTGATATAGTACCCAATCATTGTAGCTTAACACAGACCGCTGTTTTTTCATTTTTACCTAAAGTCTACTATATCCCGTTATTGTTGACCAATCTCACGTAGGTTTGGTTATACTTCCAGTAATCAAACGTGGCAATGGGAAATAATTGAATTCTAGCCGTTTACCCCGTATTGTTCCATTCAAAGTTAGGATTTGCCAGCCAGACATGTAAAATTACCAGAGGGTATGTATATATATATATATGTGTGTGTGTGTGTTTATATACTTGTTTTGTTAGTTTTTGTTGCAGACCTTTTGTTCTCTCCTCGGATTTTGCCATGGTACTTTCTCTCATTGTCCAGGCGCGCACTGAGACGAATGTGTCAATGGTTCCCATGAAGCCCTGGCCTCATTGGTGCGATTGGCCTGTGGTTGTGTTTTGTCCCTCTGTAACAAGATGTGGGGGATATGGCCACCTTGCAACTTGGGCAAATATAGACAAATGGGTGATGCCTGGATTTGTAGCCCTTCTGATGTCACAATGATCTTTAATAAATTGTGGGATGGGGCGGTACCCTATTTTTAGACAAACCCAAACTGCGTGCTGGGACCGGGCCTGCTACTTTTTGGGTGGTCATATGTTTGACCCTAACATCAGCCTTCTTGTTTGGTGGTAGGTTGATGTACCCAAATTCACAGTTTTCACCCAGTCAATGGGAATTTCAGCATCCTAGAAGGGAGGTACTGCACTATATAAAGGCATATTTTGGGTACAAATCCCTTTGCATAATATGGATATAGAACTATGGTAGGTACCTCCGGTTTAGATACTTGAGACCGCCAATTGACCCAGGGACCAAGCATGTGTTTTGTCCATCTTGCTTTAATTCTCCACTTGTTGGGCTGCATCCTGGATTTTGTTGGCTGCATGTCCATTTTCTTTCGGTTAAATCGACCATTCCGTTGGTCTCATTACGATGTCGATTGTTTCATGCATAGCCATACTAGTGACCCGCCCGCGTACTTTTAATTGTTTTCTGTCTGCCGTTTGTTGAACTCGCCATTTTTTATACGCAAATCATCTATGAATGGGCAAGGTCTATCAATCCGACATAGCTATGTCAGTTTACTGGAGGGTAACTGCCCTTTTGGAACCTTAATATGGGTAAATCATGGGGGTACCCCACGTCATCATCCATTTTTGTTTTGGATTTTCCATGAAATAAAGCACCTAACGAAAGGATCCCCCATGGAAAGCTTTCCTACAGGCCTGGAGTCAGCGAAATGGTGGTGCAATCTTCAACCACTCAGTCGCAGTGCCATGGACATCGACAGGGAGGAAAGCATGACCACGGTCTCATCAAACATGGGGATTTTCATGGGGATAAAGGGATTATAATATATTATATTATCAATGGGATTCAATGGAATAGTAATTGTGATAGAAATTGGGAAACACCAGAGGATAGAGGGTTTCTTGCATTTAAGTAGAAATGAGTGGTACATGATGGGCCAATGGGATGTCACTTCGCTAGATTGCACGGTTTGGCAAAGCATCTAAGATTGGCCATCTTGAATCGGGTCTTGGGTCAATGAAATGCTAGGGCACAGCCAGCAAAAATGCGATGGCAATAATCCAACAACCAGCGCAACTTGAAAATATAGGATGACTTGCATATTCTACTTCAGCCATTGTTTTGTTCGTGTTTGCTCCGCTGGTTTATAACATTTTATAGCCAGGCTAACTGTTGGGTTTATGATGGTTTATAGATTTTCGTGGTAGATTTAAACAAGTAGTTGATGGGGATTATAAAGCAACATAGCCATTTCACTCTGGGGGGCACCATAATTTCAGAGATGCACATGGGGTGTTGGTCGTTTGTGTCATCAGTGGGTTGATGAGATGGGAATCGGAATTCTTGTTACAGTAATCAACCATGCCGTAGTGACGGAATTGAAAAAATAGCATGTCCACATATCACAAGATATCATAAGATTATACAATGCCCATCAATGTCCTAAATATTGCATCTTTACAAACAGATCATCCCGAATCCCCAGCATTGCGGTTCGTGTTTCCAAGGAATCGTACTATTTCAGAATTGGATGAATGGAACATCCGTAGGAAACCCTATATTTGGTGGTTGAAAGCAGGCTTCCGGTACATGGTCCCTTTGACCAACCCATTGAAATTATGGAAACCATCTGGGATCGTGATCTATGTACATCCCAATCAACCACGAAAGCTTAGTCCGGAGCTCCGGAAGTGGTGCATACCCAAATCACTCCCAAACTGTGGCCATTCTAAGGGGGATCACGATAAACCCAAGGATTTGGGGCTAGCCTTTCTTTGTCCCAACTCGTGTCAGGGAGTTGTTGTTGCGAACGTTCGCTTCTCCCCAGGCAAGCAAGCCGTTACACCTTTGTTGGACAACAACTTCTCAAACACAAGGCGAAGTTTTGTGCGTGGCAGTGGATGTTCGAGCTATGAGCCATAGGTGAAACACTCTCTGCTTCAAAGTATACCATTGTAAAAAGTTGGATCAGGGATACCCAGTTCTTACTATATATCCAGAATTTAGATTGACCCATGATTGACCCATGGACTCCCATGATGGATGACCAATAAACTATACAGTATACCGTGTACCTTGCAATAAGAAAGGTGCTCAATGATCTCTGCAATCTCCCGATGCCATCCACACTTTCTGTAAAGTGATTGCTGGCAGGTTACTTTGGGATATTGTTTCCAGTAGTACCGCACAAGGCGGTGGCGGAAGTTTCAAAAATAGGAAACCTATAGGAGAGGTTGGTTGTTGTGAATCACGGATGGCAGAGCGAAGCCACTGATGGACCGAAAGGTGGTTGAGGTATCTTCTCTTTCCCTCTCTCTCTTTCTGTCTCTTTCTCTGACCATCTACCTACCTACCCACCTATCTATCTATGCATCCATCTCTCTCTCTCTCTCTGACTCTCTGTCGTGTAGTGCAGTGTGGTGTAATTAGTGTAGTGTAGTGTAGTCTTATATAGTTGTAGTTGTAGTTAGTGTGACGTAGTGTAATGTAGTGTAGCGTAGTGTAATGTCATTAGTGCAGTGTAATGTAATGTAGTGTAGTTGCAGTTGCAGTTGCAGCTCTAGGTGTAGTGCAGTGTTATTCAGTGTAGTGAAGTGTAGTGTAGTGTAGTGTAATTAGTGTAGTGTAGCATAGTGTAGCGTAGTGTAAATGTAGCATTGTTGTAGTTGCAGTTGCAGTTGTAGTTGTAGGTGTAGTGCAGTGTTATTCAGCGTAGTGTAGTGGAGTGTAGTGTAGTGTAGTGTAATTAGTGTAGTGTAGTGTTGCGTAGTGTAAATGTAGTATTGTGGTAGTTGTAGTTGTAGTTGTAGTTGACTTTGTAGTTAGTGTAGTGTAGTGTAGTGTGGTGTAGTGGAATGTAGTGTGGTGTAGTGTAATGTAGTGTAGTGTAATTGAGTGTAGTGTAGTGGAGTGTAATGGAATGCAGTGTAGTGTATTGTAATGTAGTGTAGTGTAGTTGTAGTGTAGTGTAGTTGTAGTGTAGCGTAGCGGAGTGTAGTGTAGTGTAATGTAGTGTAGTGGAGTGTAGTGGAGTGTAATGTATTGTAATGTAGTGTAGTGGAATGTAGTGTAGTGTAGTGTAGTGTAGTGCAGTGTAGCAAAGTGCAGTGTAGTGTAGTGTAATTGAGAGTAATTGAATGTAATTGAATGTAGTGTGGTGGAGTGTAGTGGAGTGTAGTGTAGTGTAATGTAGTGAAGGTGTAGTTGTAGTTGTAGTGTATTGGAGTGTAGTGTGGTGTAGTGGTGGTTGTAGTTGAAAATGCTACAAAACCCGCGCCTTTTGCTCACTTTTGACAAGGTGCACAACCCCTTGCACCTGCCACGCGAAACGACATCTGAACCTCCAAAAGCGGTCCCAACATGTGGTTTTTTTAACATTTTGACTTCGAAATGTGCTTCGCGCAACAACGGCTTGCACTTTTTCGATATCTCAACTTCCAAAAGTGGTCCGGGCCTGGTGTGCTTTGTGCATGTTGACTTCGAAATGTGCTTCGCGCCACAACTGCGTGCACTTTTTCGACATCTCAACTTCCAAAAGCAGTCCGAGGCTGAGGTGTTTTGTACATTTTGACTTCGAAATGTGCTTCGCGCCACAACGGCGTACACTTTTTCGACATCTCAACTTCCAAAAGTGGTCCGAGCATGGTGTGTTTTGTACATGTTGACTTCGAAATGTGCTTCGCGCCACAACGGCGTGCAATTTTTCAACTCTCATTTGGCCAGATGGCTCCGCACCTGCCGCTTTAGCGAGCCTACTTTTCGACCCTCCGGTGCCACAAATCATTGGAAAAACACAGTGTTTCGCGACTTTCCTACCTTTTCGCGCATCTGCATCTTCTTTCTTCTGACTCTTTCTCTTCTCTGAACTTCTCTCTTCTACTCTCCTCTTCTCTCTGACCCTTTCCATCTCTGCTTTTCATCTGTCCATATTGTCGGAAGTTTGACTTCTAAACTTCCTTCGAACATAATCAGCTCATTAGTTTATATAAGTTCTTAACTTTGACATTTTCCTTTCTGATATTTACGCTATGACATTACAAGATTCCCGACAATTTCCGCGACAAAACCCATTTCGAACTAGGTAAGCCGTGATTAAGGTATGTTCGCCATAACATTTCATATTATCTGGTTGGTGGTTTGGAACATTTTTCATTTTTCCATATATTGGGAATAATCATCCCAACTGACTAATATTTTTCAGAGGGGTTCAAACCACCAACCAGTTATATATATATAGGGATAGATAGATAGATAGGTAGATAGATAGATAGGTAGGTAGATAGGTAGATAGGTAGATAGGTAGATAGGTAGATAGGTAGATAGGTAGGTAGATAGATAGATAGATAGATAGATATTCAATTATTGTTTATATTTATATATATTTATATCAATAGTACCGCACAAGGCGGTGGCGGAAGTTTCAAAGATAAGAAACCTATAGGAGAGGTTGGTTGTTGTGAATCATAGATGGCAGAGCGAACCCACTCATGGACCGAAAGTGGTTGGAGCTGTGCTTTTTGGAATGGTTGCAGTGGTCACCTTGCCCACAACTGCTGGATTTAGTGTGGTGTAGCGTAGTGTAGTGGCAGTTGCAGTGCGGTGGTAGTTGTAGTTGTGGTTGTGGCGGTAGTTGTAGTTGCAGTTGGAGTTGTAGTTGTAGCGTAGTTGAAGTTGTAGCTGAAGTCGAAGTTGTAGTTGGAGTTGAAACTGTAGTTGTTAGTGTAGTGTAGTGTAGGGTAGGGTAGGGTAGTGTAGTGTAGTGTAGTGAAGGTGTAGTTGTAGTTGTAGTTCTAGTTGCATTTGCAGTTGTAGTTGTAGCTGTAGCTGTAGTGTAGCGTAGTTCAGTTGTAGTTGTAGCTGTAGCTGTAGTTGTAGTTGTAGTGTAGTTGACGTTGTTGTTGTAGTTGCGGTTGCAGCTGTAGCGTAGTGTCGTGTAGTGGTACTTGTAGTCGCAGTCAGTTGTAGTTGCAGTTTTTTGTTCGAGTTGTAGTTGTAGTGGTAGTTGTAGTTTTAGTTGTAGTTGTAGTGTAGCTGCAGTTGGAGCTGCAGTCCTATGTTTAGTTGCAGTGTATTGGTAGTTCTTAGCTGTAGTCGTAGACGTAGTTGTAGTTTCAGTTGTAGTTGTAGTTTTAGTGTAGTTTGAGTTGGAGTTGTAGTTGTGGTTGTGGTTGCGGTTGTAGTCTAGCGCTAGTGCTACTGCTAGTTGGTGCAGCGCAGTTCTAAGTTCTAGTTGTAGTTGTAGTTGTAGTGTAGTGGTAGTTATAGTTGTAGTTGTAGTTGTAGTGTAGTGGTAGGTTGTAGTCGTAGCCGTAGCTGTAGTTGTAATTTAGTTGTAGTTGTAGCTTTAGTGTAGTTGCAGTTGTTTTGTGTAGTGTAGTTGAAGTGGTAGTGGTAGTGGTAGTTGGAGTTGTAATCGTAGTTGTAGTGTAGTGGTAGTGAAGGTGGTAGCTTTGCTTGCCACGCAAAACAAGGCTTCAACGTCCAAAAATGGTCCAAGCAAGCATGTGCTGCTTTTACATGCTTTTACATGCTTTTACCATTTTTACTTCCAAATCTGCTTCGCGCCGCAACAGCGTGCGCTTTTTGAAGACCTCAACGTCCAAAAGTGCTCCGGAGCTGAGGTGTTTTGAGCATTCTGACTTGGAAATGTACTTCGCGCCACAACGGCGTGCACTCTTTGAACATCTCAACTTCCAAAAGTGCTCCGGAGCTGAGGTGTTTCAAGCATTTTGACTTCGAAATGAGCCTCGCGCCACAACGGTGTGCACTCTTTGGACATCTCAACTTCCTAAGGTGCTTTGGAGCTGAGGTGTTTTAAGCATTTTGACTTGGAAACGTGTTTCACGCCACAACGGCGTGCACTCTTTGAACATCTCAACTTCCAGAACCCGTCATTTTGTAACACTTCTCGCCACAACGGCGTACATTTTTTGAACATCTCACTCTCAACTTCCAAAAATGGTCCGACAATGGTACTTTGGACCAGCCTGGGACTTAGGGACTTATAAGTCATGAAGTAAGTTCACTTATAAGTGGCTATGTGGCATGTCAAGTTAGTTATAATTCTCTAAGTGGTTCCTAGTGTGGGGTAGGTTAAGTGGCACTTACTATTGACTTAGGGTGAGATATAAGTTCTATAAGTTAAATGATCATGACTTAGAGATCACTTAGTGACCATTTAGCTTGGATTTTGAAATGTAAGTTTGTGCAAGGGTTTTGGGTTAGCTCTGAAATCACGATGGTTTTTGCAGCCATTTTGGCTGCAGGCATGTCGGTTGAAAAGCAATTGGAAGCTGCGCAGAAATTCCTAAGAGGAATTCGTTCGCTGACCTCCTACGAGGAGGTCAGGGATAAACAGGCGCTGCATGTGGGTGTGCAGAAAGCACTGGACAAAGTGCAGTGCTTCGCGGCAGCTCAAGCGGCTGCGTGGCTGGCACAGGTGCAGCCCGACTTCTGGGGTGACTTCCAAGCGGAGTCCTTCGGTGAGAATGTTGCTGTGAAAACGAGGCCTGTGGAAATCGATCAGACTCGTTGCTTGGACTCTACGGGAGCCTGGGCATGCGCAGAGGGAAGGGCTGCAGACAGCAAGGTCTTGAAACGCCTGAGAACCTTGTTGCTCTACGGGCAGTGGGGCGCTACACATCGGGATGTGCCTCCACATCCAATACTACATGGTTTCTCTTTGATTCCGGCTTCCTACGAGGAAGTGACGAATGCCTGGCGTGAACAATTGGGTTGGAATCAGATGTACCTGTCTGACGACTTGCATCTTGCTGGCAAATGGCTGGCGATCTTGGCATGGCACCTCTCTAGTCTCTAGGCGAGAAAATCGCATTAGGGAATTTCTCTGGTGTCGACGCTGTGCATGGCTTCTACGGCAAGCTCGACGCAGCCTACGGGCTGCAAAGGTGGAGGCAGAAACATCACCATAAGGATTCACCCAAAAAATTCGTTGTTTGTCCGTGTCTGCGGATGTCTGCGGATGTCTGCGGATGTCTGCGGATGTCTGCGGACAGAAAGTATGAAACTGACATGTCTGCGGCACTTGTCTGCGGAGCGTGGAAAAGGTGCTTCCGAGTGGGTTTCCGTGTGTCTGCGGTGTCTGCCAAGAGGGAGAATCCTGCTGGGACACATGGGACATGTCTGCGAGATGTCTGCGGGATGTGCAACCGGCAGAATCATGTCTTCCTAAGGATGTCTGCGGGTTTTCTTTGAAAAAGTGAGAAAAATCAAAGGTGCATGGGACATCGCCTACGGGGCGATAGCGGGGGCAAGACCCAAGTTTCACTATGCGCTCCATGTCCAAGAACAAATTCACAGATGGCGGCGAGACATTGATTGCTTTGCTGGGGAACGCAAGCATCGTATATTTAAGTCCATTGTGGCTCGGCGCCTGACACGGCTGAATTGCTTCACCCGGAGCACGCTGCTGCAAATGACAGAAACGGAACTCACTACGAGTCACCTCGAAAGTGAGTACACTGGACAACTCATATGGAAGCCCACGCAAGACGTGGTGCTAGCAATGGAGCTCGGAATATCTCCTGAAAGCTTCTTTGCCAAAGGCATCCAAATCTATTGCGTCGAATACCTACGTGGTAGCTTCGTCCAAATGTCAGCTACGTGTTGCATAGAAATCTTACATGGTCTGTCAAATGCACATGGCTTCTACGTCGCGGTGCGAAAATTGCAATCCTTTCTTGCAAAGAATCATTATCAAAAATGGAAGCGCCTATCTGGCGCAAAGACAATCCTTGCAGCTTCTACTTTGATGCACGAGGAGCGTATGCGTTTGCGCCGCCAAGATCAAGACGGTCTTTGGCTTTTACGTTAATCCACGACATCAGGAAGCAGCCAAAAAAGCAAATTTGACGGGTGGAGAACACCCCAAGACCATGTCAACATCCATGTTTTCAAAAATGATAAGCATTGCAAAAAATCCCTAGGAAACACTTAGCTCACTTAGCAGCCACTTAGCTCCCACTTAGAACACCATCAAACCTAAGTTTCCTAAGTGCCACCTAACGGCCAGCTAAGTTCCTAAGTGCCAAAGCGGCTCTATAGTATGTTTTTACCATTTTCACTTCCAAATCTGTTTCGCGCCACAAGGGCGCGCAATTTTTCATTTCTCATCTCCCAAGATGGCCCCACACCCGCCGCTGTAGCTAGCCTACTTTTTGTGCCTCCGGAACCACAAAACATTGGAAAAACACAGTGTTATCAGTGTTTCGCGAATTTCTTACCTTTTCCCGCACCTGCATCTTCTTTCTTCTGATTCTTTCTCTTCTCTGATTTTCTTTCTACTGGCTCTTTCTCTTCTCTGACTCTTCCCACCTCTGCTTTCCCATCTGCCAATATTGTCGGAAGTTTGTCTTCTAAACTTCCTTCCAAAGTATGGTTTTGCCGAAAATGCATGAAAATGGTGTACATCCCCAGTTCACTACCGCAATGGGGAAGATGAAGGAACGTGATTTTCTCACCAGGGGTGTTTCTGCAAATGTGGAGCCTCGAAACCAATCACGGACATCGGACATCAATAGACAATTTTTTTGAAGGTTAGGGTCCCACTTGTTCAGAAATACCAACATCTTAGACACAGCCTCCACCCACTAAAAGTGTGCAATGGAAACCCTTAGTTGGATATGATAGTTCTGGCGGGCGAAGGATATTTCCAATCCATATCCACATAACATGTGCCGTCACAATTTTGATTTTATATTCACATTAGGGGATGGTCATCAATCCATTGGATTTTTTAACTATGTCTCCAAACATAATTTGTTAGTTCTTGTTATGTATATATATATATACATTTATTTATTTATGTATATATTTATATTTATTTTTTTATTTTTTTATTTATCAATTTATTTATTTATTTATTTATCATCATGCAAAAAAGAAGAAAATATATAATTGTTATCCAAATTTGTGATTGTAGTTATTTGTGTATATCCAATCTGTTCGGATTCCCATGGGATGACCGTGGTTCCCCACCAGGAGAACGCCACTAAAGCTGCCCTCGAACGAGGCTACAGCGCTGTGAACATAGCACGCCGCGTGAGTTCCTTGGCACAAGAATTTTCATCATGTCTGTGCTGGGTAAACTATATAGTGACCTGACTGATCCTGACTGTGACTTCACTGAAATCATGGTATTAAAGGGAATTTTCCCAATATAGCCGTAGTCTCATTTCTGGTTAGTGAATTATGTAATTCACACAACACTAACCCCCAAAAAGATAAAAAGTGTTTCCAAGATGGTATAGGTATAGATAATTATAGATATATAATAAGTACCTCATATGGTTCCAGGTTTCCCATTGCTTTATCTATTTTCAGTGTGGTTTCGGTTTGGTTCGTTTTCGGTTTCTAGTATTTGCTACTATAGGCCCGGTTCGGTTCATGTTCGGTTTCGGTTCCTGCGGTTCCTGGTCGATTTCGGTTCGGTTCGGTTTATTGGAACATCCTGCATTGATATGTTTATTTTTCCGGTGCAAGAGGTTTATTGTTTCCCGCAAGCGGTTTCATGAGCAGCGGCTTTCAAAGAGCGGAGAGAGCTGAACTCGGAAAACCAAAGCTTCCTGAAATTGTCAGTGCATGCAATTTATTATGAAGAAACCCATATTTGCTTTTTTCATTGAACTCAAAAAACAATTATATACAACTTTTCCAATCAGTTTATTGGGGGAGGGTAGGACGGTTCCGGTTCCTCCGGTTCGGTTTTGCACACGGTTCCAGCGGTTCACGGTTCCTACGGTTCATAGGCTATTTGATTTTCTACGGTTCGGTTCCACGGTTCCGGTTCGGTTCCAGAAACTTACTGATTTTGGGTTTGCTATATAAATACCTAGCGCTCCAATTAATTGCCCATACAAATTGGTATTTCACCCCATCATGTATTTTTTGACCACTATGACCAATTTGTTTGTTTACCTGGAGGCTCCTGGAGGGTCTAGGTGTAGAGATGGTACATGATACATACCCTGAAAGTCACCATAGTGGTGACAATCGACAATTTTTCCAGAGATGGAATGCAGTTTTTATTTGAGGCAGTGGATTGACCTCCATCAGCACGATTGCTACGGACCCACACGTTGAGCTGAGGTCATAGAATGATTTTACGTCATTTAGAAAACGCATCTGGCAAAGGACGTGACGATGTATAAGGATTCCAAGTTGAAAATGATACCCTCTCTCCAACTAACAGAGACCCAGCCAAAGAGGGAGATGGAAGACTAAAAATCCACTTGGGATGGCAAAACCGGGGTGGACAATTTATTTTGGGCCATGGCAGTCATTTTTCGGTTTACGTTACATGTGACTATGTGTTAGATTGTTTGTTACCATTTGACATAGTTCTGATATGTTCTGATTCTGGCAATTCGTACCTGGTTCTTGGTTTAGGCCCTTAAAAAGGTCGTCAACATACAATCTAATGTGCAAACATAGATTGGCTGGTATAAATAGTATAACTGTATAACCATGTATAACCCCGAGCGAATCAGCAACCAATTTGCGCGTGTTGACTGCAGTCACTGCTCTGGCGGAGCTTGGCCAAGCTCGGCCAGGTCAGTTTCAGCCACACGTGGACCAATCGAATGCCACATCGCCATACCTCTACGAGCTGGTGACGTCTCGTACCCGGGACTCCGAGACTCACAAAAGTCGACGGGTGCATGGGGCCATCATGTTTCCCTACGAAACTTGCAATCATCAAAAAACATGTTTGGAGAATCTCATATTTGGTGATTCCTTTTCTGACAACATATGGGGAATGCAAGCAACCACGATGTGTTTGCGGCTTTGTCACGGCATTTTTGTTGGGAAAAGTTTCTCCATTTCTTCACTTCCGGTGTATTTGCCGATCAGACTGAGCAGTTGTCCCAGTGCCGGCCGAACAAAAGGTCCAGCAATGAAAGCAATCTAAGCTTGCAATGGACAATTTACCTGTTGTATTGTCTTTGTTTCCATGATCTTTCAATATGCTTATTCGCTGTCTACGGAAGCCTAAGGCGTACACAGAGGAAATCCCTAACCTTTTGGTGCAGTTGGGTTGATTTTTTGTGGGTATGAGCACGGTTGTAAACTTAGGTACAAGTTGAGATAAAACATCCTCAACTAATTACGGTAATAGTGTATAATTGTATTAAATATATATATATATATATATATATATGTATATATATATGTATATATATGTATATATATATGTTTATATATGTATATATCTGCACAAATTATAGCGAGGACAGCCGAGGCAACGAGGCAGGTTGCAGGAATTAGCGAGGTCAGCCCTTAATTTGCTCATCAGAATTAGCCGACCTCGACGAGGTAGCCTTGCATTGGTTCTGTTGCATGCTTGGGCTTGGCTAGAAAAACTTTTTTGGGGGGCCAGAGGCCGGTCAGCAGGCAAGGAAGGAAAAAAAAACTTTTCAGGCCCCAAAAAGTTTTATTTTTTATCGCCAGAGGCCGGTCAGCAGGCAAGGAAGGAAAAAAAACTTTTCAGGCCCCAAAAAGTTTTATTTTCTATCGCCAGAGGCCGGTCAGAAGGCAAGGAAGGAAAAAAAACTTTTCAGGACCCAAAAAGTTTTATTTTCTATCGCCAGAGGCCGGTCAGCAGGCAAGGAAGGAACAAAATCTTTTCAGGCCCCAAAAAGTTTTATTTTCTATCGCTAGAGGCCGGTCAGCAGGCAAGGAAGGAAAAAAAACTTTTCAGGCCCCAAACAGTTTTATTTTCTATCGCCAAAGGCCGGTCAGCAGGCAAGGAAGGAAAAACAACTTTTCAGGCCCCAAAAAGTTTTATTTTCTATCGCCAGAGGCCGGTCAGCAGGCAAGGAAGGAAAAAAACACTTTCAGGCCCCAAAAAGTTTTATTTTCTATCGCCAGAGGCCGGTCAGCAGGCAAGGAAGGAAAAAAAACTTTTCAGGCCCCAAAAAGTTTTATTTTCTATCGCCAGAGGCCGGTCAGCAGGCAAGGAAGGAAAAAAAACTTCTCAGGCCCCAAAAAGTTTTATTTTCTATCGCCAGAGGCCGGTCAGCAGGCAAGGAAGGAAAAAAACTTTTCAGGCCCCAAAAAGTTTTATTTTCTATCGCCAGAGGCCGGTCAGCAGGCAAGGAAGGAAAAAAACTTTTCAGGCACCAAAAAGTTTTATTTTCTATCGCCAGAGGCCGGTCAGCAGGCAAGGAAGGAACAAAATCTTTTCAGGCACCAAAAAGTTTTATTTTCTATCGCTAGAGGCCAGTCAGCAGGCAAGGAAGGAAAAAAAACTTTTCAGGCCCCAAAAAGTTCTATTTTCTATATCGCCAAAGGCCGGTCAGCAGGCAAGGAAGGAAAAACAACTTTTCAGGCCCAAAAAAGTTTTATTTTCTATCGCCAGAGGCCGGTCAGCAGGCAAGGAAGGAAAAAAAACTTTTCAGGCCCCAAACAGTTTTATTTTCTATCGCCAGAGGCCAGTCAGCAGGCAAGGAAGGAAAAAACACTTTTCAGGCCCTAAAAAGTTTTATTTTCTATCGCCAGAGGCCGGTCAACAGGCAAGGAAGGAAAAAACACTTTTCAGGCCCCAAAAAGTTTTATTTTCTATCGCCAGAGGCCCGCTTCGTGGGTTGACGGCTGCAGAAGCAGTAGGATTCAGAGTTGCTCCAGAAGAGCATTGCATCTCTGCGATAATGTCAGAGATGTCACCACCCAAGCGCAAGAAGCGCAAAGACCGATCAGACTCAGATTTAAAAATCCCTGCGAGAGACCGTGGATCGTGGAAAAAAACTTTTCGGAAGCTGAAAAGTTTTTTCCCTTGGGGCTGGACCCTGGAAAGAAGGCCGGCCCACAAGCTACTTTCTTCCTTCGAATTAACGAGGTAAAGCCTTAATTTGCACCTGCAAATTAACGAACGAGGACAGTAATCATGGGGAACAAATTAAGACACGAGGGAGACGAGGTAAGAATTAAAGTAATTTGGCCAGATATATGTATGTATATATATATATTGGTTGACACCTGACACCTTCCAAGTCGCTGAACTTCACTTGTCTCAGGCTCATTTATGTATGTCATGATGACTGTTATCCTCCTGAATCTCATCTTGCTTGGGATTGAGGCGGGTCGGCGACCCGTGCGCAGCAAGGCGTAGGTTTGAGACAGGCTTGGCACTCACTGCAGCTTGACTTCCTCTATTTCTTAGAACATATCATGAGATAATGATCATAGATGTAGATAGGTATATATATATAGAGAACAATATAGATAGATGTGGATGATGTGGATCATTTGATCATATTTGATCATAATGTCCAATTACAGATCATTACGGATCATTTTCAGATCATAATCATGTCTAGGCCAGCGTGGCCTTTAACGCTCCTTGCTACCTGAGCTGGGCTGAATCATCTCATCTCATTCCGGTGAGGTGGAGCTATCGGCTGCTGCGCCGCTGAGTGAACAAAGAAAGCTCTTCTTCTTCGGTTCAAATATTGTCATCGTCTTCGTCTACGCTCTGGACACCTGAAGATTTACGAAGATTTATGGTTTTACATCGAGAAAGCAAGCAGTTGTATAATATATATATATATACATACATAAAAGTCCCATAAGTTACAAACAATGCAAGAAGTTGTCATTCCTGAAGTTGGGATGCTTATCTCACCACACTGCATCCTACGTTTGGAAAGTGGCTGGTAGCAGGTCCTTTGAGCCACCCTAGAGCGGCATATGAAGCACTGGGATATCTGACCTGGTCCCTGGCCGTGTACTGCTGTGTTCACTGTACTTGGGCTGCCTGTGCAGTCTATTAGCCCTAAGTCTTCTAGAGAGTCTTCATAAGTACATGGTTATTAGCCAAATACTACCGGACCTAGCTCAAATCTGTTTGCCTACTCCAAAAAGCAGGCTAGTCGCGAGTTGTGGGCCATTCAGGTTGTTACACACAACCCTCGTCCAAATCTTCCCACAACGGAACCCCAACACAGCTACAACTACATTTTTTGGGGGGACTATGACCATTGTTTGCAGGGCCAAGGTCAGATTCCACATTATGGACACAAGTTCCTATGCCTTGATGAACTCGAGGTTGGTTTAACAGGTTTGAAACATTGACGCGTTCAATGCATATTATACGACAGTATCATAGAAATGTATGTATATCTATTTATGCAGTGTGCAATGCAGTGTGTACAAATACTCAATGTATATGTATACATATATCATATATTACATATACTATATATATATATATATGCGTGCTCTTTCATCAACAAATGGCTTGTTGAACCTGACTTTCCATGATCATATTTTGCCAGGGATGGTCCGTGACACGCTGTGCGAAGGAAATGATCCTGAAACTCTTCGCTTTTGGGTGCACGGGTTTCTTTTTGGGAACCGACCGAGCGTGCCTTGGAGGGCGATGGATGAACTGTGGTGGTTGGAGACTATGGCCTTTCATGAAGACAACGGGAGAATGTTCACTGCTGGTTGGTTTTATTTTTTATCTTTGGAAACACCCTGACGATTTGTGCAAAGTTGTTAGGTAGAAACTTTGAAAGTGCGACGGCCAATATTTTTCAAATTTCTTCAATCAATTGTGTTTCTTGGCAAAACTATGCACGATGGAATCTCTACATTTGGCAGCGACACTGTCAGCGGGGAACAGATCCAACATGGAGGTTGCTGGGGAGACATTGGCTTGGCTTGGTAGTCTAGCGCTGTTTTTTTTGCCATAAGTGGAAAACACAATTCCAAGCTAGGCAAATAAAGGTTTGGTTTAAGTATCTAAGTTCGGCCATGGTTGATGATTTGAAGTGGATTGATAATTTCGATTAGTTTTGTTTATAGCTATAATCCTGGCCTTGTACTGTCTTCCTGCGTGCCAAAGAGACAGCTTTCGAGGTGGAATATGTTTGATTTCTCCATCACCACGCTGCGCCTCGCCAATAACCGTGCAAATAGGATACAAAGCGTTCCCCATGTGTTTCGAGACTGGGTATAGAATGGCATGAGACCTGAGTATCTCTGGAATGATTTGTTATGAGTTGGTTATCAATTTATTGGATGTTACTGCAGAAAATCCGGGGAATCCCAAAGCAACGGCCGATCGCTGAAATGGACTCAGAAGTCTCTCCGCATCAGATGCCACAATGAGTGCCTGTGCATTAGATTGGACTGTTTGCCAACATGTTGTGCAGTAGAGATATATTTTCACAACCTTCAGTGTTGATCATGGACTTTGCGCGCTTCGATCATCACCAAGCTAGTTGGCAAATGAATCCCCAAATGACTAGGGTTACCATGGATCACCGGCCTTTTGATGTCCCAAACATCTCTTGGACTCTAAATAGGAGTGTGCGGGGGGTACATAGACGTGGAGCCTGCCAATTGCCGGAGTTAATTGGCCTGCCTGAAATTCAGTAACCCTAAAATCTCAGGGTTCATCGTCATTTTCCCCAACAAGACAGATGGCATTGGGGATAGATCGTTTTGAGCACATGATGTCACTGCACCGGACCGCCGGCAGTTTTTCTCAGTCGTAAACGGCACATGGCACATGGCCATTCTGAAAGGGTCGTGGCTCTGAGATGGAACAGAGTGGGTTCTATATATATATATGGAATTATATGGATTGGTCTGAAATTTTGGTACCCCTACGTTCCCTACATCCACTGATTTTATGTATATAATGTCAAGTTGTGAGTAATAAGGCCCCCGGAAGGTAGGTACCTAGGGAGAAGGTTCTGCCACGGTGTTCCCTCCAAATAAACGCCCTACTAAGTTGAAGTCCTAAGAGATCAACTTCGAACCCATATCAACCTACTTTCAATTGATTTTCCTTTTAAAACAAAAAGGAAATCTCAAGATTAGTAAGGATTCCAATTGATATCAACCTACTTTCAATTGATTTTCCTTTTAAAACAAAAGGAAATCTCAAGATTAGAAAGGATTTCAATTCATTTCAACCTACTTTCAATTGATTTTCCTGTTAAAACAAAAGGAAATCTCAAGATTGGTAATGATTTCAATTCATATCAACCTACTCTCAATTGATTTTCCTTTTAAAACAAAAGGAAATCTCAAGATTAGTAAGGATTTCAATTGAAATCAACCTACTTTCAATGGATTTGCCTTTAAAAACAAATGGAAATCTCAAGATTAGTAAGGATTCCAATTGATATCAACCTACTTTCAATTGATTTTCCTTTTAAAACAAAAGGAAATCTCAAGATTAGTAAGGATTTCAATTGATATCAACCTACTTTCAATTGATGTTCCTTTTAAGACAAAAGGAAATCTCAAGATTAGCAAGGATTTCAATTGATATCAACCTACTCTCAACTGACTTTCCTTTTAAAACAAAAGGAAATCTCAAGATTAGAAAGGATTTCAATTGATATCAACCTACTTTCAATTGATATTCCTTTTAACACAAAAGGAAATCTCAAGATTAGAAAGGATTTCAATTGATGTCAACCTTCGTTCAGTTGATTTTCCTTTTAAAACAAAAGGAAATCTCAAGATTAGTAAGGATTCCACTTGATATCAACCTACTCTCAATTGATTTTCCTTTTAAAACAAAAAGGAAATCTCAAGATTAGTAAGGATTCCAATTGATATCAACCTACTCTCAATTGATGTTCCTTTTAAGACAAAAGGAAATCTCAAGATTAGCAAGGATTTCAATTGATATCAACCTACTTTCAACTGACTTTCCTTTTAAAACAAAAGGAAATCTCAAGATTAGAAAGGATTTCAATTGATATCAACCTACTTTCCATTGATATTCCTTTTAACACAAAAGGAAATCTCAAGATTAGAAAGGATTTCAATTGATGTCAACCTTCGTTCAGTTGATTTTCCTTTTAAAACAAAAGGAAATCTCAAGATTAGTAAGGATTCCACTTGATATCAACCTACTCTCAATTGATTTTCCTTTTAAAACAAAAAGGAAATCTCAAGATTAGTAAGGATTCCAATTGATATCAACCTACTCTCAATTGATTTTCCTTTTAAATCAAAAGGAAATCTCAAGATTGGTAAGGATTTCAATTCATATCAACCTACTCTCAATTGATTTTCCTTTTAAAACAAAAGGAAATCTCAAGATTAGTAAGGATTTCAATTGAAATCAACCTACTTTCAATGGATTTGCCTTTAAAAACAAAAGGAAATCTCAAGATTAGTAAGGATTTCAATTGATGTCAACCTACTTTCAATTGATTTTCTTTTTAAAACAAAAGGAAATGTCAAGATTAGTAAGGATTCCAATTGATGTCAACCTACTTTCAATTGATTATCCTTTCAAACCAAAAAGAAATCTAAAGAGGGTCGGTATGGTTTAGTGGATAAGACGCATCCCTCATGCGTCAGACCCGGGTCCAATTCCCGGGTGCAACACTAGGCGGACAGGCGGGCCACTACCCCACCCCTGCAGTTAAGGGGATGAGCTAGGGTGTGGTCCGTAATTACTCTACTTCGTGTGATCCCCACCATGACATGTCAGGACGTATATTTGGACATATATTTAGTATATTCTGACATCCTATCTGACATATATTCTGGCATATATTCTGGCATTCTATCTGGCATATATCCTGACATTCCACCTGGCGTTCTATCTGGCAGTCTATCTGGCATTCTATCTGACATATTTTCTGACATTTCATCTGACATATATTCTGGCATTCTACCTGTCATATATTCTGACATATATTCTGGCATTCTATCTGACATATATTCTGGCATATATTCTGGCATTCTATCTGGCATTATATCTGACATATATTTTGGCATTCTATCTGACATATATTCTGGCATATATGTTGGCATTCTATCTGGCATTATATCTGACATATATTTTGGCATTCTATCTGACATATATTCTGGCATATATTCTGGCATTCTATCTGGCATTATATCTGATATATATTTTGGCATTCTATCTGACATATATTCTGGCATATATGTTGGCATTCTATCTGGCATTATATCTGACATTCTATCTGACATTCTATCTGGCAGTCTATCTGGCATTCTTTCTGGCATTCTTTCTGGCATTCTATCTGGCATTCTATCTGGCATCCTATCTGACATTATATCTGGCATTCTATCTGGCATTCTTTCTGGCATTCTTTCTGGCATCTGGCATTCTATCTGGCATCCTATCTGACATTCTATCTGGCAGTCTATCTGGCAGGACATTCCTACATGAGGTCCGGCAGGGAACACTTGGCATGGATACTCGCGGTTGAGGTCCGGCAGGGAACACTTGGCGCGGATGGTCGTGGTTGAGGTCCGGCAGGGAACACTGGGCGTGTATGGTCGTGGTTGAGGTCCGGCAGGGAACACTGGGCGTGGATGGTCGTGGTTGAGGTCCGGCAGCGAACACTGTGGATCGCGAGTCGCAGTTGAGCAAGGACGACGAGGACGACGAGGACGACGAGGAGGACGAGGAGGAGGAGGAGAGGAGGACGAGGCAGGAGGAGGCGGAGGAGGAGGAGAAGGAGGAGGAGGAGGAGAAGGAGGAGGAGGACGAGGAGGCAACTGACATAAAATCTAACAACCCTCACCTGGCAGGTGGGGAAAAACACTCTCTCCCAAAAAAATAAAGGTCTGTAAGAATTTCAATTGATATCAACGTACTTTCAACTGATTTTCGTTTTAAACCAAAAATAAATCTAAAGGTCAGTAAGAATCTCAATTGATATCAACCTACGTTCAAATAACTTTTCTTGTTCCTTTTGAAATTAGAAGAAAACTTAGACCAAAAAGGGATTTTCTCTGTGGTGGTTGATTAATCGGGTGATTCCCCCCGGTTAGTTAATCAAGGGAGACCAAACCATTTTATTGCCCGAAGATGTTTCCTGTGTGGAGGTTGATTAATCCCTAGGGATTATATAATCACAACTACACATTGTGTATAATTATTTAATTATATACACATGTGCAATCATCATTTTCCCCATGAAGATTGTCATTTTGGAGGTATACTCCATTTTCAGACAGACCCAATCGAACCACATGACCCCTCACACGGGGGACTTGCCCACCACGAGCATGAACCAACATGCACATTTATTATCATCAGCATCTCAAAATGGCTCAAGCCATTATCAACTAGTATCAACTATTAGTACCAGTAGTATCGCACAAGATGGTGGCGGAAGTTTCAAAAATAGGAAACCTATAGGAGAGGTTGGTTGTTGTGAATCACAGATGGTAGAGCGAATCCACTGATGGACCGAAAGGTGGTTGGAGCTGTGTTTTTTGGAGTGGTTGCAATGGTTGCAGTGGTCACCTGGTCGGTCACCTCACCCACAACTGCTGGATGTAGTGTGGTGTAGTGCAGCTGTAGTTGTAGTTGTAGTGTAGTGGAGTTGTAGTTGTGGTGTAGTGTAATTAGTGTAGTGCAATTGCAGTTGCATTTCTGGTGGCGTAATGAGATGTAATGAGTGTGTGTAATTGCGTGTAGTGTAGAGTGGTGTAGTGTCGTGTGGTGCGGTGTGGTGTAGTGTGGTGTAGCGTAGGGTAGTATAGTAGTTGTAGCTGTAGCTGTAGCTGTAGCTGTAGTTAGTGTAGCGTGGTGTGGTGTGGTTTAGTGTAGTGTAATTGAGTGTAGTGTACTGTAGTGTAGTGGAGTGTAGTGTAGTGGAGTGGGGTGTAGTGTAGCGTAGTGTAATGTAAGTAGTGTAGTGTAACGTAGTCTTATGTAGTTGTAGTTGTAGTTGTAGCTGTAGTTTGTGTAATGTACTGTAATGTAGTGTAGTGTATTGTACTGTAGTGTAGTTGCGGTTGCAGTTGTAGTTGTAGGTGTAGGATGGTATAGGTGTACTGTAGCGTCATTAAGTGTAATGTAGTGTAGTGTAGCGAAGTGTAATGTAGCATAGTTGTACTTGCAGTTGTAGTTGTAGTTAGTGTAGTGTAGTGTAGTC